ACATGATTCAGGTGTTTCTATTTTTACCAGTACATTGTGTAATCCTGCTTAGTATTAAAAGATGATGTGGTCCACATTACCTCAGCCCAAATACAGTAGAGAATAAGAATTTTAATCTTCTATGTAGAATATTTCATTAACAATGTAAATTTTATTGTCCTTGTTTCCACTGAAATGCAGGGCATTAATCAAAACTGAGGAGAGCACCTCAGATAAGATACTTTTCTGATCTAGTGTGGGAAACCCTCTATTTCCAGACAAAGTATACATGTTGGTGTTCCTGTTGGAGATCTCCCTTCCCATCCTGTTGTCATTGTGCAATACTATAGCAAAGTAAACAATGAGGGCTAGTATATGCAGTCTACACACTCAGCTGTGTCCACAGGCCTTCTTCTTGTGCATTCTTCCTCTTCCTTGTTTGAGCTCATTGCATGCTTTACAGATCTCACTGGGAGACTGACCTGGGCCTGGAGAGGCAGGCATGCACGTCTTGACACTCTTGCTTGCTCACGTGTTCTCTCTGAATATCTTCTATAAACATCCCTACCCAGTTAGTTGTTCACAGTCTGAGAGGGGATAAATTCTACCTCCCTAGTTCCAGGATGCTCTGGGAAGCATAAGCAAGCATCTAGAAACTGAGAGATCACAGCCCAGCAGCAGACTTGCTCATTTCTCACCAGGATTGCCATTTTGCTTTTCAGAATTACTGTCATAGTCCTGCTTACCTGGCAGCTTTTGTTTCTCCTTTACTGGATGGATCAAAACTAACTTCAGAATAACTTCAAAACCAGGCAAAAGTGAGCCTTTCCCCACAAAACTCTATAGAATGAAATGCCTGTGAGGACAGGGTCAAAAAAGTTGCCAGAGACAGCAGAAATATTTTGAGAGGTGGTGCAGACTAGGATGTGAAGACAGCAGCTTTTTTTTCAAAGCCATTTTAGGTATCTTGGGGGAATGACAGGAACAACTGACTGAAGCACAAAGCAGACCTTTGATGGTAGAGGAAGGCATTGGAGAGGAAGAAATTGCAAACTTCAGGAAGAATCTCACTGTGAATCAGCCAGTTATCCCTTCTCTCTTGTGAATGAGTATTGCCAAAAGGATGATAACTAGCTTTCCCACTTCAAGTGACATGGAGATTGGGCAAAGAGAGAGATCATTGATACATTCTTCATTATGTGAACAGAAGGTGCAAGTAAACAGTACAGTGTGTGACTGGCTCTAGACAGAATGCGGGTAGGAAGTAACAGCATAGATCTGCAGGAGTGTATGAAGGTGCATGTACACATTGAAGAGATACAGTGTTAACAAGCAGCTGAGCTTAAGTTATGACTTACTGAGTTTTACTAGTGAAGCATGAAGAATGGTCATGAGGACTGAGAAAGTAGGTATTTCCTTGAAGTATCTCAGCTCAGTGAGTCTTGTTTTCTTCTGGAGAAGCCTTTCAGGACAAAGAGATGCTATCCTCTGACAATGGAGACAGGATTTGTTCCCTTGATCTTTACGCTGGTACTTGTTTTCACTGCTGTAGGCTAATTCCATGCTCTTGACTAAGGACCAAGGTTTGTGGTCATAGAATCTCTGGGGCTTGCTTCATAAGCAGAGTTTGCCTGGCTTCCTCTATTTGACAGTTTGCTATCATTTTTGTCCATTTTTTTTTCTTCCCTTAAACTTCCGTTAAAAAAAACAGAGGTTTAATTGTAAAGAATCTGGAAGACGCCTTATGGCCATGGACTTTTGTCAGTTCTCACTCCAAGAGAAGGAACCTTTTGGCTATAGTAAAACTCATTTCAGATGTGTTCTGAAAAGCTACAGTGCACGTGACTGCCATGTGCTATTCCTGTAACTCATTTTGTGTTCTGGCCGTTACAGAATAAAGAACAGATTGGTATTTGATGATTGCTTCTCTCTGAAATCAGTTGTGCATTAGGTAGACCTGCAGAGACTAACCTCTTTCTTGCTGAATTGGATTACAGCCAGCATGAAAGCAGCAAAGTCAGAATCGCTCCTTTGGAAGTGAATTTCCTCATTTTTTAAAAGTTATTTTTAGGTGCTTGTTGAAGTCTTCTGCTCTGACATAAGAGTATTGTCTCTGTGTTTCAGTGAATTATATAGCATCTCACTTAGGTTTTGGAAAGTTCATTTTAACAGGCTATATTAGTGCATCTTTACAGTTCTCAAATTTAGGTAGTTTTGAAAAAACCAAAAACATTGCTAGACTTAGTTACTTACTACTCTTACTTACTCCTTCATTCTCTCTGTTGTCATTGTTGTAATCACATACTGAAATGAAATTATCTTTAGAGTATATTTGGAAGAAGTGAGAGGATCAAGGTGCTGTGATATGTATTCTCTCACCTGGGAGCATGCTGGGTTGCTCGGTATGTGGGATCACTGTGGTGGGTTGACCCCTCTGGCAGCCAGGCTTTGGGCTGTTCACTCACTCACTGCCCCGCAGCAGGGATGAAATGCAAGATAAGAAGAATGCCAATCAAAACTGTAAGAGGCTGTCCAGTTAATGGATTTTCATGCTTTCTTGAAGTGTCGCTCATTTATAACAAGTATGACTCTTATAAAGTATTCAGGCATGATTCTTTATTCTTACCAGGGATGTATTTTGAGAAAAGCTGTTATCTTATGCAGAAGAGGTAGCAATACAGTAATAAAGATCTGTTGGTAAAAATGTAGTTGTGCTGCTAAGTTTTGTTTTGTTTCTAAATGTAAGTTGTATTTTTTAAGGCTTTTGGGTAAGAATAAGTCTATACTTCGTTTTTTTGCCCTTTTTGTTGGGGTTTGGTTTCTGGTTTTTGGTTTTCACATGCACTTTTACGTTCTAAATATGACATTAAGAGAACGAAGTGCAAGGATGGTTCTTAAAAGTGTCATAGAGTACTAGTTGTGGCAGAGGCCTTACAGATTATTTGCTTGGCTGTTGCAGTTAATGCAGGATTTTTCTCTATTCTGTTCTTAACACTAGTGTTCAGTGTACCTTGTGTATACTTTTGTCTACTGCTGCTGTGTAGTATTTTAGAACCTTTTCCAACTCTTTAACATGTTTAAATAGAAACTCAAAAATGTCTTTTAGGAGATTGTTTGAATTGAGTGAAATCATACAGTCAGAAAAAAAATCATAATCCCTTTCTTATTCTTCTGTATCTAAATTTTTGTGGGCCAAAAATGCATTTCCTCATTGGCTCTGTACCCTGGAATTAACTGCTCATGCTCCTTGCCATTTACCTAGATTATGCACCTCAACTTCATGTGCCTCACAGACGTACGAAAATGTTGTGATGAAGATGGCAGTTGACAGTAGGTAAATGGACACACAAAGCAATGAGGTTAGTGGCTTTATATGGTTTTGGATTGGCTTTTTTTTCCCCTCTTAATTTCTCTCACTACCTCAGTCTCCACTTGGTGTTCAGTTTCTCAGGACTGATGGATTATTCCAGATGGCTTCTTACTGATCTGCACACATAAGAATCCTCCATAAAGACACAGTTCTTTCTCCTTCCCTGCTTCACTTTCCCTCTATGCCTCCCTCAGGGTCCTCCTATGTGTTAACTCCCTCAGCATAATATCACCTCATCTGGTATTACCTTGCCTTCTTCCAAATTACTTAAATTTCCAAACCATCTCTGTAGTTCCATTGTATCATTTTTCAGTCTTCAATAGTGTTTCTGTCACCACCCCGTGTACTCTGATTTGCAGATGTGATTAGTACATATTTAGTTCCCTTTTACAGGTACTGAAGAAGTTAGATAAGATGGGACTCCCCATTTTATGCCTTTGCACAGCTTACCACCTTCTTTATTGTGATATTATGTCTAAGTACAAGTAAGTTAATTAAATTTGAAATTGAGTGTTCATGGGATACTTGATGTTTCTACTTGAATGTATTCAGTGAATGCAGCATCTAGGGCTTTTTTGGCTGGGTGTTTCACTGTTGTTTTTTTGTATGGGGGGGGGGTGTTTGCTTGGTTGTTGTGGTTTTTTTTTTTGGTTTTGTTTTGTTTTTTTTAACAAAGTTGTAGTGTGTCAAGGTTTAAGCCCAGCTGGCAACCCAGAACCATACAGCCACTCTTTTACTCCCCCATCTTCCTTCCCCCACTTCTGGAGGGATGAGGAGGAGAATCGGAAGAATGTAAGTCCCATGGGTTGAGATAAGAACAGTCCAGTAACTAAGGTATAACACAAACCACTGCTGCTACCACCAATAATAATAATGATAAGGGAAATAACAAGGGAATAGAATACAACCGCTCACCACCCGTTGACCGATACCCAGCCCGACCCAAGCAGCGATCTAGCTCTTCCAGATAACTGCCCCCAGTTTATATACTGGGCATGATGTGCTGTGGTATGGAATACCTCTTTGGCTAGTTTGGGTCAGGTGTCCTGTCCCTGCTTCCTCCCATGTTCCCCTCCTCCCTGGCAGAGCATGAGGCTCAGAAAGTCCTTGATCAGAGTAAACGTTACTTAGCAACAAATAAAAACATCGGTGTTATCAGCGTTGTTCCCAGGCTGAAAGTCAAAACCACAGCACTGCACCAGCTACTAAGAAGGAGAAAAATGACTGCTACTGCTGAACCCAGGACAGTATCCACCCCTTATTCCATACCATTCATATCATGCTCAGATCCCACAGTTTTCAATATACCATCACTCTTGTCATATACACACACACACACACACACACACACACACACACAAAGAGAGAGGTATCATTCCTTAGTGCATGGACCAATCCCTATAAAGCTTCTGAGTTCATCCGATCCATTATACCAGGCTCCATCTCTTGTAACAGTCTTTCAGAGCAGGAGAGAGTGTGCAGTGTTGGATTCTTGCCTGCTGATGACACTGCAGAACTCATCTGGTCATTGCTAAGCTTGTCTGGTTTCGTCAAAGTTCATTCTTTGTTGGGATGATGGTTGCAGGGAAATCAGGGCCACCTGCTGATGACCTGAAGACATCTAGTTGGTGGGCTATAGAAGTGCTACATAGCAGGCAACAGCAGTCGAGTTTATTGGCTGTTTGCCCCTAAAATCGAATCCCCTTGAGGTACACATCGGACTTCCCCATCTTCCCGCATTACCCACCAAGTATATCCAGGTCTCTGAGCAAAAGCAATCCTACAAGTGGGTTTGCCTTTACCTGAAGCAAGAATAACCCAAGACTGTCTTCCCCAGCAAATTCTTTATGTGCACCACTGGAACTTTGTTACCTTTTACAGTATGTAAAAGTTCTGACTGGGCTAGGCCAGCGCTGTTGGCAGATCCTCTGGTGTTGACCAACCAGGTGGCCTCTGGTAAATGTGTATCCCAGTGTTTGAAGGTCCCCCACCCATTGCTCTCAGTGTAGTTTTTAACAGCCCATTGTACTGTTCGATTTTCCCAGAGGCTGGTGCATGGTAGGGGATGTGATATACCCACTCAATGCCATGCTCGTTGGCCCAAGTATCTATAAGGTTATTCTGGAAATGAGTCCCATTGTCTGACTCGGTTCTTTCTGGGGTGCCATGTTGCCACAAAATTTGCTTCTCAAGGCCCAGGATAGTGTTCTGGGCAGTGGCGTGGGGCACAGCGTGTGTTTCCAGCCATCCAGTGGTTGCTTCCACCATGGTAAGCACATGGTGCTTGCTTGGGTGGGTTGGTGGGAATGTGATATAATCAATCTGCCAGGTCTCCCCGTATTTGGACTTCAGCCATCGTCCTCCATACCAAAGAGGCTTTAACCATTTGGCTTGTTTAATTGCAGCACATGTTTCACACTCATGAATAACCTGGGCAGTAGTGTCCATTGTTAAGTCCACCCCTTGATCATGATCCCATCTGTACATTGCATCTCTGCCCTGATGGCCTGAAGTGTCATGGGCCCACTGGGCCAAAAATAATTCACCTTTATGTTGCCAATCTAAATCCATCTGAGACACTCCAATCTTAGCAGCTTTATCCACCTCTTGGTTGTTCTGATATTCCTCAGGGTACATGAGCGGTACATGCGGCATACCTTCACCACCAGGTTCTGCACCCTGGCAGCAATATCTTTCCACAGTGCAGCAGCCCAGATGGGTTTACCTCTGCATTGCCAGCTGCTCTGCTTCCATTGCTGCAGCCACCCCCACAGGGCATTTGCCACCATCCATGAGTCAGTATAGAGGTAAAGTACTGGCCACTTTTCTCGTTCAGCAATGTCCAGGGCCAGCTGGATGGCTTTCACCTCAGCAAACTGACTCGATTCACCCTCTCCTTCAGCAGTTTCTGCAACTTGTCGTCCAGGACTCCATACAGCTGCCTTCCATCTCCGATGCTTTCCCACAGTACGGCAGGACCCATCAGTAAACAAGGCATACTGCTTTTCACTTTCTGACAGTTTATTATATGGTGGGGCCTCTTCAGCGCGCACCACCTCCTCCTTTGGTGACATTCCAAAATCTTTGCCCTCTGGCCAGTCCATGATGACTTCTAGAATGCCTGGATGACTGAGATTTCCTATTCGAGTTTGTTGTGTAATTAGTGCAGCCCACTTACTCCATGTAGCATCAGTTGCATGATGTGTAGAGGAGACCCTGCCTTTGAACATCCAGCCCAGCATGGGCAGCCGGGGTGCCAGGAGGAGCTGTGCTTCAGTGCCAATCACTTCTGAAGCAGCTCAAACCCCTTCATAGGCTGCCAGTATCTCTTTCTCAGTTGGGGTATAGCTGGCCTCAGATCCTTTGTATCCCCGACTCCAAAAGCTGAGGGGTCGACCTCGAGTCTCCCCTGGAGCTTTCTGCAAGAGGCTCCAGGTAGGACCGTTCTCCCCAGCTGCAGTGTACAGTACATTTTTTACATCTGGCCTGGTCTGAACTGGTGCAAGGGCTACTGCATGAACTATTTCTTGTTAAATTTGCTCAAAGTCTTGTTGTTGCTCAGGGCCCCATTTAAAATCATTCTTCTTCCGGGTCACATGATAGAGAGGGCTTACAATCGAACTGTAATTTGGGATGTGCATTCTCCAGAACCCCACAGCACCCAAGAAAGCTTGCGTTTCTTTCTTATTAGTTGGTGGAGACATTGCTGTTATCTTATTGATCACATCTGTGGGGATCTGTCTACCTCCATCTTGCCATTTTATTCCCAAAAATTGAATCTCCTGTGCCGGTCCCTTGACCTTACTCCGTTTTATGGCAAAACCGGCTTTCAGCAGGATTTGGATTATTTTCCTCCCTTTCTCAAAGACTTCTTCCGCTGTATCGCCCCACACAATAATGTCATCAACGTATTGCAGGTGTTTTGGAGCTTGCCCCTCTTCCAGTGCAGTCTGGATCAGTCCATGGCAGATGGTAGGGCTGTGTTTCCACCCTTGGGGCAGTCTTTTCCAAGTGTACTGGACACCCCTCCAAGTAAAAGCAAACTGTGGCCTGCACTTCACTGCCAAAGGAATTGAGAAAAATGCATTGGCAATATCAGTCGTGGCATACCACTTGGCTGCCATTGACTCTAGTTCGTACTGAAGTTCTAGAATGTCCGCTACGGCAGCACTCAATGGTGGTGTGACTTCGTTCAGGCCACGATAGTCTACTGTTAGTCTCCACTCTCTGTTAGACTTTTGCACTGGCCATATGCAGCTACTAAAGGGCGAGCGGGTCCTACTGAACTCTCGTAGACTTGTCTCTCCAGTCTACGCATCAGCTTATGGATGGGAATTATTGGTGCGGTATTGCTGCCGGTGCACTGTTGTGGTCGTAATTGGCACTTGTTGTTCTTCGACCTTCAGCAATCCCACAACAGAAGGATCCTCTGAGAGACCAGGCAAGGTGGACAGCTGCTCAATTTCCTCAGTCTCCAAAGCAGCAATACTAAAAGCCCACCGGTACCCTTTTGGGTCTTTGTAGTACCCTCTCCTGAGGTAGTCTATGCCAAGGATGCATGGAGCCTCTGGACCAGTCACAATGGGGTGCTTTTGCCACTTCCTCCCAGTCAGGCTGATTTCAGCCTCCAGTACAGTCACCTCTTGGGATCCTCCTGTCACTCCAGAAATATAAATGGGTTCCCCCCCTTGACGGCTTGATGGCATCAGGGTACACTGTGCACCGGTATCTACTAGAGCCTTATACTTCTGTGGGACTGATGTGCTAGGCCATCTGATCCACACAGTCCAGTAAATCTGATTGTCCCCTCCCTCCACCTGGCTGGAGGCAGGGCCCCTCTAATAGTGATCACAAGATTGGACACTTAGGTCTTGTGCAAAGGGATTAGTCTTTATCACAGGAGCTGGAGTGAAATTAGCTCTTCCACTCCATCTGGGAACCTGCTCACCAGAGACTGACGCGGCAGCTTTCATGGGATGATCATCCTTGACCTTTGTTCTCCTCTTCAATTCATGCACCCATTTCTCTGGAGCTGAGGTAGGTAAAAGGGATTATTCTTCGTGATCACAGGAGCTGGAGTAAAATCAGCTCTTCCATTCCATCTGGGAAACTGCTCACCAGAGACTGAAGCCGTAGCTCTCATGGGACGATCAGTCTTGGCCCTTGCTCCCCTCTTCAATTCACTCACCTGTTCCTTCAAAGCTGAAGTAGGTTTTCCATCCCACTTTGTCATGTCTCCTCTGTGATCCCGCAGGTAAAACCATAGGGTGGTCTGTGGCATATACCTTCTATATCTTCTCTCTCAAGCAGTAGGACGCCTTTTGTTAATAGATGAGATGTGGGTTGGTACATGTGAGGAGCTGGATAGATCAGATAGATCATCTCTTAGTTGTTTGAACTCCTGAGACAGTTTTTCCACAGCTGAAATAATGGAAGGGGTGAGATTGTCTTCGAACTCTCGGAGTTGACAAATCATTTCATCCACTGTTGGTGGTGCTACGTCATTCCAGGTTATTGATGCCAGTGAGTGGGCACATGATGACGGTGCATTCCGTGTAAATTTCTGCTATATGGATCATGTACATTTGACTTCATCTGGACCTGTGTGTGCATTCCCGGCATCTGGCCTGCGATAGATCATCTCCACAATGACTGATACCCTCAGAGACTGGATGCCTTTCTCTAAAGTAGTCCGCTTGGCCGAACGACTCATAACATCATCCTTGCATGGAAACCTTTCTTTCACAGCTCCCAAGAGTCACCTCCAAAGGCTGAGAGACTGTTTCTCTTTTGCAATTGCTTTGTCAATTCCCCCTTCCCTAGCAAATGGCTTGGCTTCTGTACCTTCTAGTTTGTGACTGTTGGCCCCACTGTCCCAGCATCGGAGCAACCAGGTGATGATGTGCTCCCCTGGTTTACAGGTAAAATCTTTTCACATATTCTGTAGCTCGGTTGAGGTCCCGGGTCAAGAAGTCGCCTCTTCTTTTTCTTCTTCCCCTGATTCACGTAATAATAACTCCTGATCAGACACTGTTCCGGGTAGTAAGTGCATTGTTTCTTCATCTTTTTTGCCTCTTTTTTGCTTTTCCCATTGCATACAGGGGGAACCAATATTGGCACAAATTGGTCCTCTGGTTTAGCTGCAGTGATTATTGCTGTGGTTGGAGTGGCTGCAGTATCTGTTGTCGGGGTTTGGGTAGCTGTTGTACTTGTCACTGCGGTTGGTGTAGCTGCTGTCCTTGGAGCTGGAGTAGCTGCACTGTCTGTTGCAGTTGGAGTTTGAGTAGCTGCTGTACTTGTCGCTAGGGTTGGTGTAGCTGCTGTGCTTGGAATTGGAGTAGCTGCATTATCTGTTGTAGTCAGAGTTTGAGTAGCTGCTGTACTTGTCACTGGGGTTGGTGTAAGTGCTTTATTTGGAGTTGGAGTAGCTGCGATGTCGGTTGCTTTGCCACCAGATCCAGAGACATTTTTTTTTCCTTTTGAAGTTGCTGGATGTTGTTGAACGGGGCTCTGTATGCATAAGCCAAGCCCCAGCACGTTGACATGATTTGTCTCTCCGTGGTATGACCAGAATGACCACACACCTCATTTAAGTGTTTTACTAATTTTTCTGGATTTTTCACTTGTTCAATGGTGAAGTTCCAAAGCACTGGAGGGGCCCACTGGCCTAGATACTTACCCATACTATCCCATACACCCTGCCATTCATGACTATCCAGCCTTGGGGAAAATCTCTTGGTCCTCCTATACCGTCGTCTATCCATAGACAAAACCCAAAGCCGACTCTGCTGAACTTTTGAGATCAGACAAGATGGTCATGGGTAAAACACACTCTATGTGTGCCAGCATGGTGATCCCCATCTGATTCAGGAATATGGCTGGTGAGCAGCATTGAAATATATGGCCAGCCACTTCTACTTGCAAAGAGGGCCATAAAAGAGGTGTTATGCACCTTCTGTTACCCCTGGTTCTCTGCTGCTGAGACTGGAGCAGATCTCAGTCTGTTACCAGGATTAACAGGATGGGAGATCTCAGTTAACAGGATTAATTAAATTTACAGAAATATTCTGCTGTAGTTATTTGAGGAGGTCAGTTTAAAAATCTTACATAGTTGGTGGATCAATCTGAGGAACCATTTCTTCCCTTCCTACCTTGCAGCTCCCTTCCTTCAAGTAATAGCTGCACCTGAATTTGGATGTAGATACGTGGCATGTTAGGAACGTGAAAAATTGCACTAAAATTTACATATCCTTGACAGCTAAACCACACTGTATATGCAATTACACTTTCATGATTACAGTTTCTTTGACGTTTTTGTGGTTTAAGTGCCGTCAGTAACTCAGACCCAAACAGCCTGCTCGCTCACTCCCCCCTTCCTCCCTGCACCCGCTCCCAAACTGACAGGGAGGAGAATCGGAAGAATGTAACTCCCACGGGCTGAGGTAAGAACAGTCCAGTAATTAAGGTATAACACAAACCACTGCTGCTACCACCAATAATAATAATGATAAGGAAAGTAACAAGGGAAGAGAATACAACTGCTCACCACCCATCGATACCCAGCCTGCCCCAAGCAGTAAACTAGCCCTTCCAGGTAACTCTTAGTTTACATCCTGGGCGTGATGTACTGTGGTGTGGAATACCTCTTTGGCTAGTTTGGGTCAGGTGTCCTGTCTCTGCTTCCTCCCATGTTCCCCTCCTCCCTGGCAGAGCGTGAGACTCAGAAAGTCCTTGGTCAGGCTAAACATCTGAGCAGTAACTAAAAACATCGGTGTTATCAGCACTGTTCCCAGGTGGAAAGTAAAAAACACAGCACTGCACCAGGTACTAAGAAGGAGAAAAAATGTCTGCTATTGCTAAACCCAGGACTGTATCAACCCCTTATTCCATACCATTCACGTTGTGCTCAGATCCCACATTTTCAATATGCCATCGCTCTTATACACAATATATAATATATATATATATATGCATCCAGAGAGAGAGGTATCATTCCTTAATGCGTAGACCAATCGCTATAAAGCTGCTGAATCCATTCAGTCCATGATGTCAGGTTCCATCTCTTGTAACAGTCTTTCAGGCAGGAGGGGCTGCTTGCAGTGTTCACACTCATGGATAAACTGTACAATAGTGTCCGTTGTTAAGTCCACCCCTCAGTCATGAGTCCATCTCTATGTTGCATCTCTGCCCTGATGGCCTAAGGTTTCATGGGCCCACCAGGCTCAAAATAATTCACTGTCCCCTTCAGCAGTTTCTGCAGCTTGTTGTCGAGGACTCCATACAGCTGCCTTCCATCTCTGATGCTTCCAAAGCACTGGAGGGGCCCAGAGGACCAGATACTTGCTCATACTGTCCCACACACTCATGACTGTCCAGCCTCAGGAAAAATCTGTTGGTCCTCCTATATCGTTGTCTAACCGTAGACAAGCCGACTCTGCTTAACTTTCGAGATCAGGCAAAATGGTTGTGGGTAAAACACAGTCTGTGTGTGTGCCAACATGCTGATCCCCATCACAATCAGCAGGCAGGTCTCAAGGGTATCCAAAGGCCATTCAAAACCTTCAGAACCCTCAAATGATGCTGTAAACGGTCGGGGGGGGGGGGCTGGGAAGGTAAGGGAATGTCTCCTTCACAGATTGACCACCCAAGGAGGGGAAAAAAGATATGTAATTGCTAAACACTGCTGCTATATACTTCCCAAAGTATAGAGGTGGTGACTGCACTGGGAATGCAAGCCAGAGCAGTTTCATGATCAATGATTCTATTGTATTACAAGTCATTACCATAGAGTACAATGAAACAAGAACCTTAGCCCAAGATTTGCAGCCGATAAACACTAACACAGCAAATACCGGCTGTAGGTAGGGTACGACATACTGCAACTGTGAGATCAGGAACAACAACTGTGAGAACCAATAAATCAGCATTGTGACAAGTGACTATTAATCTGAAACAATAAATGGTTATCACAAATACAATTAGACACACTCGGTCAAATCTGTTGCTGTCTCAACCCTTCAGGCCCCATGTTGGGTGCCAAAAAGAACTGTCACGGTTTGAGCGCAGTCAGTAACTTAGACCCACACAGCCTGCTTGCTCATTCCCCACCTTCCCCTTCCCCCCCCCCCCCCCCCTCCCCGGCTCCTGAAGGGATGGGTAGGAGAATTGAAAGAATGTAACTCCCACGGATTGAGATGAGAACAGTCCGGTAACTAAGGTGTAACACAAACCACTACTGCTACCACCAATAATAATCATCATCATCATTGTCATGGCTTGACTTTGCGAATGAAGACTTGGGAAGGGCTTTACCCACGCTTACTACAAGCGCGCTGATGACTAAAAAGGCCAATGTGGGATAGGCAAATGCAGCTGCAAAAAGCACAGTGAAAGGCCTCCTTGGGTGGTATAGGCGTGGTGCAATTCTTTCTATGTTGTCTTTTCAAGACTAATTCTGCGTGAGTTCTCAAATGAGACAATGCCATTATGGAGCAACCAATGTCCTGAAACACCTGCATGCAGGGTTGGGTCCGCGACTTCCAGTGCACCTTATCACCTGCTGTTTCGTCCCTGGCCTGTCGCTACAGGGCTTTGCAAGTGTGGGTAAACCCTTTGGGCCTGTGCAGTGGATTTTTTAGGTGAGGCACAGCATACACAAAACTGGCCCCACCCTTTACACCTGAGGTTTATCTGCCAGGGCCTAGCAAGCTTGGGTGGTGACAGCAAAGTCCTCAGGTTGTAGATTTGATTAGAGTATCCTTGTCTTAGATGGATGGCCTTACAGAGCTAAACAAGCGCCAACTGCCCGTGTTTGAAGTTAGAGTTGTCCTTCTCCTAGGATGGTTGCCTGAAGGCTAGTGAGCCCATCCTGCCCATGGACACACTTTGTCTGACCCTTCAGTTGAGACCTGTCTGGCAAGGGAGACCCTACCAGTCATATGCCACCACCAGCATAGCTCCCAACCTCACAAGGGCATGCAGGCTCTTTCCCCATGACAAGGGGGTGTCCGTGAAAGAGACCAATAATAATAATGATAAGGAAAATAACAAGGGAAGAGAATACAACCACTCACCACCCGCCAACCAATATCCAGCCCCACCTGAGCAGTGAACTAGCCCTTCCAGGTAACTCTCATTTTACATCCAGCCAAAAAGAGCTGTTGTGATTTAAGTGCAGTCAGTAACACAAGCAGCCTGCTCGCTCACTTTCCCCCTTTCTCCCCACCACCCCGCTCCCGGAGGGATGGGGAAGAGAGTCAAAAGAATGTAACTCCCATGGGCTGAGATAAGAACAGTCCAGTAACTAAGGTATAACACAAAACACTACTGTTACCACCAATAATAATAATGATAAGGGAAATAACAAGGGAAGAGAATACAGTACCACCCATTGATACCCAGCAGTGAGCCAGCCCTTTCAGGTTACTCCCAGTTTACATCCTGGGCATGACATGCTGTGGTATGGAATACCTCTTTGGCTAGTTTGGGTCAGATGTCCTGTCTCTGCTTCCTCCTGGCTTCCCCTCCTCCCTGGCAGAGCATGAGACTCAGAAAGTCCTTGGTCAGACTAAATATTTGAGCAGTTACTAAAAACGTCAGTATTATCAGCGCTGTTCCCAGACCAAAAGTCAAAAACACAGTACTGCACCAGCTACTAAGAAGGAGAAAAAATGACTGCTACTGCTGAAGGGAAGGGAACAGTTGGACTGGAGTTTGTTTTATCTCCACTATGGAAGTTTGGTGGAATATGTTTTTTATAAACTTTCTCTCTCAATCCAGGCTTTACAAATAGCTCTTTCAAAGTGTGTTACAGATACCTCTTTCAAAGAGGTTGACTCCTTTTTACTCTAGCAATATACAATGTATATCAGTAGGCTTTTATTTAGAGTGGCACAGACTTTCAAATATACTGTCTGGTTCTGGAGCCTTGGAACAAGAGATTACTTGTTTTCCCTCTTTTTCTGGGTCAATCCAATTTTATTTTTTCCTCTTTGTAACAGTGGATGTTTGGCTTCCTACTGGTTAGATTGCCTTATAGAGGTGTGAGAGCAACTAAGTTGGCAGGCAGGTATATGCCATTGTAAGCCCCAGATAAGAGCAAAGTCGTAGCTTTAGCAGCCTGTAGCTCTTTACATTTCCATTTGATGAGACTGCAAGAGTGCTTTGCAGAGTGCTTTGAGATATGCTGTGACTGAAATTGTACTGTGTCTGCAGCATTGAGATCACAAAGTAAGGATTCCTTTGGAAGGAAACTGTTGGCTTGCTTTTAGTTTGTTACCCAGTCCTACTTCCCTCAGAAATTTCAACACCTGCATGGCTATAAGGAGTTGCAGTACAGTCTTAGGTTTGCTTAGAAAAAATGAGTAAACAGTTACGCGTATGTTTCAGAGTCAGTTCTGTGATGCCAAGAGATTGTTTTTGTCTGTGTCCCAGGTCCTGCAGTGAGATTTCCTCCAATATGAAAATAGTAGGGCCTTTGGTGGGATTAGAGGAGGAGTAGGAGGAATGGTGATGATGAAGGTCTGTTGCTAGCACAGTGAGCCTTGTATCAGGCAGAGAATGCTATCCTGCGTTCCCAGGAGTGCAGGGAGAGCAGGAGGAAGGATGCTGCCATTTGTCTGATCATGGTTTGATTTGTGGACACTGATTGCTGTGTCTACCCAGGTAGTCACTTCAGCTGTGCTGCTTGTACTTCAGTGAGAGCTGTGCGACTTGATTCAAGCTTAGCTGTTTTAAAATGACAGTTTTGTGTAAAACTCAGCATGGGTATTCGGTCTCGATCCATCTAATGACAAATTCAACTTCTAGAAGTCACATGAGACACCTGAGGTGTATCTGTGTACAGAGGGTAGCCAGCACTACCTTCCTGTGTAGGCCCTGAAACAGACAAAATGCTTCTTTGTTACCTGAAAGTGGATTTAGAAACATGTGGGGTGGGGTTGGGAGGAACAAGCACATTACTGCAGAGTCAGATTATGCTTGTGAAAAAAAAAGAAAAAAATAAAAAGGTTACTGTTTAATAGTGCTGCTCTTTTCCCAGCAGTAACACGTTTTAGATTCAGCCCTTGCTGTTGTAAATCTGATCTTTGTCACAAAGCTTTTTTTTAAAATACTTGTTTACCAACTTCACTTTTTAGAAAGAGACTTTGGGATTTTATGCTCTCTGAAGTTTAGGTATCTGTGGCAGCTGAGAGTGCCATTTCTGATGCATACTCAGCATTCCAGCTGAAATAGGCAAAAATGGTCCCTACAAACAGAGACATTATTAATTGCTCTCTGCAATTAGGTAAATAGCTGTGTTGGTGGATAACAGCAGGAGGGTTAATTCTGTCTTCAGAGGAACCACAGGACTGGTTGGAAACAGCTGCTGTACTGCAGGCTCTAGTCTGCACAGTGTGATGCTGTGGTGAGCATGCCAGCTTTGGTGATGAGAAGAATGGTATGGAGGAACGTTAATAAACAATCCAGAGTAGAAAGGACATAGAAAAGTACCCTAGGCCTGGATCCCTGAGGGGAGAAAAGTCATAATAGGAGCAAAGAAAGGGAGAGTTCAGGCTGAAACTGCAGACTGGACAGGAGCGTGCAGCCACCTGCATGCTCTTGACCTCTCTGTGTGGACTCAAGGCTTACAGTTAAGTCAACATGGTATAGTGCATGTGTAGCTTAGATACTAAAACAGTAGAACTGTGTTAATGGCATGCTTAGCTGAGCTAGATGGCTCTTTTAGAAAGTGCAGGAATGATGCTTAGGATGGATGCTAGGTGTATGTGGCAATGATTCACCAAAACTGCAGACTTCTGGTGGCATTTGTTGAAATAGGAGTGAAAATAGGAGTTTGGTTCATTGACACCAGTAACCCAAGAGTCAAGTTATCCACACCTCTGTAGGATATGCATAATTTTGGCAGTTGTCATCTCTGGTACATACCATGATGGTGTCACTGTTAGTCCTGTTGTGTGTAGAGACATGTCTTGTGTTTCTACTTATATACCAATAGGTGTTACCAGCATTCATACATAAAACCTTTCAAAGTGCTCATGTCTGCACTTTGAACTGATGCTTACTTCTGTGTCTGACAATACCTGTTAAAGCCCCCAAAATACTTCAGCTTAAGCTGGAGCCTATCCATTTCATAGAGATGTTAATGCCTTTCCCACTGCTTTCTCCTAAAGAGAAATGTTTTTTCCTGCAATTAATACAGTTAGCTGAGAAGGAGGAGGGGTAAACCAACTTTGAGCAACTCAGCACGAAAGACCATGGAATATACCCCAGAGATATATTTGAGATTACAAGGATTGCTTATGTACAAGGTAGATTGACCCACATGTTAATATAGCAGAGACCAGTGACA